TGGGCCGGGCGTGTCCCACTCCACCTGCTCCAGGCCTCGCCCCACCCACTCCCCTCTCCCGGAACAGGGCGGCCCTGCCCCACCCACTCACGGCCCCGCCCCTAAGCAAAGTTGACCACGCCCACCTGCTCCCGGTCCCACCCCACCCGCTCCAGGCCCCGCCCCCTTGCCTGGTGCACAGGCTCCCTCTTATTTTACCACGTCCTCAGCCCACCCTTCCCCACGCTGGCCCCAGTCCTAACGTCTCTGCTCCCCACTGTTCCCCTCCACTCAATCTTTGGCCCACCTTTATTTCCCCCATCCACCACCTCCTGCCCAAACCGAGGGGCCCAGGGCCCTCTGACCTGTCCTCTCCGCAGCGAGGTGCAGTATGTAGTACTCCAGAACGTGGCCACCATGTCCATCAAACGCCGGGTGAGTTCCACCAAGGGGCCCAGGCTGGGGGAAAGGGCAGCTGGTAAAAGCCCTGGCTATGTGGAATTTAGGGAAGGGGACCCCCAAATGCAGGCGAGGACCCTGAGGAATTGCTACAGAGGATGAGGGGGATGCCCAGGGAAGAAACCGGGAAAGATCTGGGATGGAGGAGGGAAGACTTGTGGACTTGGCGAGGTGGAAGGCTCTTGGGCCTGGGTCAGGAGGGAGCAGTGCCTCTGGGCCTGGGGCCATGCTGGAGCTCCCGGGGGTTGCCTCTCTCATGCCAGGGTATGTTTGAGCCCTACCTGAAGAGCTTCTACATCAGGTCCACCGACCCCACCCAGATCAAGATACTGAAGGTGAGTGGTGAGCAGAAGAGGCTGTGGCCTCTCTCGCTGCCCCCCACGCCGACCCACTAACTCCCAGTGGCCACCGTGGGGCCTGCGTCTTCCTGCCCTCAGCCCATGGCTACCCCAAGCCCATAGCTGCCCCAGCTGGAGCTGTTTGCTGTGGGGATAGGGAACTCCCTTTGCACCATACCTGCTGTACACCTCTGCTCTTCCCAAGTGAAGTAACTTGGTTTTCATAACTCCAGGGCAGGTGTGTTATCTCAGTTATAAAAATGTAGACTCAGGGAGGCGAGGTAACTACCCTGGGGTCACACAACTCTGCCGACTCCAAGGTTCCTGCTTCCCGACACAGCCTTCTGCCAGGGCCAGCAGGTGGTGTGGAGGTTAAGGTGGCTGAGTCACATGTGGCTGACTCCGCAGTTCCAGTCCTGGGCCCAGCAGCTTGAAGAAACACCAGGATGGGCCAGTAGTTGGTATGGTGGTTGAGACACTGGACTCCCACATGACCAACAGTGGTTCTAGTCTCGGACCTGGTGGCTTGCTTTCTCATCTTCTCTCTCTCCTTCTCTTTCTCTGATGAGTACACGTGCTGTATAGCAAATTTAAAAAAATAATAATCTTTAAGAAAATTGATTATTATTTCAAAATAATTTTTTAAAATATTGGGTGCTTGTACATGCCCAAAATCCTGGGAGGAGAAATGGAGAAGGGATTATGGCGTGGTCATCCTCCCTAGGGGGTTGCCTTCTCACTTTCCTCCCCCGCCCCAACCAGTACACATAGCCTATAGCAAGCTAAAAAAAGAAAAGTAGTGGCAGGAGCCTATACTCCATTCCATTCCTGTTCTGTTGCCCAGTTTTAAATTTCATTCAACTGCAGTTAATCTTCCTAACCTATTCTTTTTTAAAAAATGAATTATTTTATTTTATTTATCCATTTAAATTTGACCAGAGAGGGACAGAGTAATAGAGAAAGAAAGAGAGAAAGCAAGCTGCCAGGTCCGGGACTCAAATTGCAGTCTGCCACGTGGGAGTCCAGCGCCTTTAACCACCACGCCACCTGCTGGCCCCAATCTTCCTAACCCATTCTGAACCCTCCAGCAGCCACACTGCCAGACCCAGGGTGTAATCAGGGATTCTGCCCTTGTGGACCTTACAGTCTATTGGAGGGAAGAGGAGACAAGAGACAAATGTAAAAATCTGTTTGCAACAATATGATAAAAATGAAAAGTACAGAAACCTGTAAGAGCATAACTTAGGAGGTCCTTATCTAGTCTGGTGTCAGGGGTTTTCCTTGAGGAGACAAGGTTTGAGCAGAGGCCTAAGAAATGAGCAGGCATCACAGACGTAAATTCAGGGGCAGAAATGGGAAGAACTGCTCTACACAAGGGAGACAGCATGTGCAAAGGCCCTGGGGTAGGAAGGGCTGGGTGATGGAGCTTAGAGGGCAAAGGAGAGAATGGTGAGAGAAGAGAGGCAGACAGCGGTCAGATCATCCAGGGATTTACAGACCACGGTAAGGACAGCAGTCTCCTAAATGCAACAGAGGTTTCCCACGGTGGTGGGGAGGTGACGCAGTCATACTATGATGCATACCCTGGGAAGAATCCACCGAAGAGCCAACTGGTCCTTGCATTAGGACAAGTTTCATGCTCTGTCAGTTCCTTCCTCAGAGTAAGGAGGCAGGGCTGTCCTGAGACTTGTTTCCTGGTCTAAGAAGTGTCCTTAGAATGGAGCACAGAAAGCCCACTGACTGCCCTGCCTGCTTTCTGCCTCTTTACCCTCCCTGCAGCTGGAAGTGCTGACCAACCTGGCCAACGAGACCAACATCCCTACCGTCCTACGGGAATTCCAGGTACAGGCAAGGGGGCAGCTGCCAGCCAGAGGGGCCTCGGAGAGGTGCCCTTCAGGTCCTGTGCTCAGCAAGAATAACCTGATGGGTCAGCTTTTCTCCTAAGAGCTGTAGCTAGAGAAACTGTTGTCTTAGGTCCCCTTCTAATGCTCCCCTGGCTTCAGGCTGAGGAATCAACAGGTAGGGGCTGGAGATGTCAGGTCATCTTCCAAGATTTGGTCTTTAGCATGAGGCATAAAAAAATGAGAGGTCCTGGGGAACCAGCAGTTAGCATAGGGGCTGTCGCTGGACTCCCATGTAGTCGACCACAGTTCACGTCCCGGACCCAGTGGCTTAAACTCATGCTGGAATCGTGTGCGTGTGTGCCCAAGATCCCGAAAGGAGAATGGAGGAGAGGAAATCGCCGTGTGGCCATCCCCCCTGGGGGGGTGATTTCTCGCTTTCTATCTCTCTGTCTCTCTCTGTCTTTCTGGCGAGCGCATGCACACTATAGCGAAAACCTCTCCAAAAAAAAAAAAATTAATTAAAAACAAAGGGATCAGGGACCAGCAGGTAACATGGTGGTTAAAGCACTGAATCCCACATGGCTGACTCCACAGCGTTGAGTCCCAGACCTAGCAACTTGAATAAACAGGCCAGGCAGGGCCAACAGGTGACATGGTGGTTAAAGTGCTGGACTACCACCTGGTCAACCATGGCTCGAGTCCTGGACCTGGTGTCTTGAAAATCACGTTGGGTATGTGTGTGTGTGCATGTCCAAAATCCCAATAGGAGAATGGAGGAAAGGGGATTGCAACATGACCCCCGGGGGTGATTTCTCACTTTCCTTCTGTTTCTGTCTCTCTGGTGGGTGCATGGACCCTGTGGTAGAAATCTTAAAATAAAATAATAAAAGCAAGGGATCACGGGCTTCCTGAAGTTACCCTCAAGCATACAGAGTCGCCGAGGGGTTAGTGTCTGCTGAAACAAGTCTGCTGTGTCGTTTTTTCCTCCATCCGCAGCATGGACAGGGACTTTGTGGCAGCCACGATCCAGGCCATCGGACGCTGTGCGACTAACATAGGCCGAGTCCGCGACACCTGCCTCAACGGCCTGGTGCAGCTACTGTCCAACCGCGACGGTCAGTGTGGGTCTGAGCGTCCGGCCTCGCCATCTGTGGGTGTCTGCCTGCATGTCTGCCTCTGCTGGCCCAGGGGTATCCACCTGCCTGTCTAGGCGCGGTGTGTGTCTGTTGGTCTGTCTGCCTCCCTCAGTGTCAGGTGTTCCTCCAGCTCTCAGGGTCACCAGAGAAGCACCTAGGGTTGAGGAAGAGAGCCAAGGGTCTCAGGGCATGGCGAGTGTGTCAGTCCGCCTGGGTGTGGCTGTACGACTCTCCTGAGGCCCACACGCTCCCCGTCCCATAGAACTCGTGGTCGCAGAGTCAGTGGTCGTCATCAAGAAGTTGCTGCAGATGCAGCCGGCGCAGCACGCAGAGATCATCAAACACCTGGCAAAGCTCACGGACAACATCCAGGTGAGGGGTCGCCTCCTGCTCCCTTCCCCATGATTTTAAGACCCTCTTAAATTGGGGCCAGCAGGTAGTGTGGTAGTTAGGGCACTGGACTCCCACATGGCCAATCGCAGTTTGAGTCCTGGACCTGGCGGCTTGTTTTCTCACTTTCCCTCTCTCCCTCTCTCGCTCTACTTGTCTCTCTCTGGTGTGTTTGTTTCCCCTTTAATAAATTTTAAAATAATAATACTAAAAATAAATAAAATTTAATAAATAATTTTTAAATGTGTTAAAAAAACTATTCAATTACTCTAGAATTATCAAAACAGCTTCTAAACTGTCCATGCCAGCCCTAAAAGGTCTTCAGGTGGAGAGAGACTAGACCCCGTGACCATGGCCTTGTGGCCCCAAATTCGCCTTTGCTTAGTGAATCCCTCGCGGAGCTCCAGGTCTTGACACCTCCCTCGTTTTCTCTCTGGAGCTCTGGCCATGGATGGCACTGAGCTTTAACATGCAGATCCCGTGTTCTTCTGTTGCACTGCTGAGCTGAAACACCCAAATGAGGCATTCCT